CAGGATAGAGCAGGTTTTAGGGCTGTTGTACATAGGGTCCCTGTGAGTCGCAAACGACTCGACGGCACATAACAACAACAACAATGATTAACCCCCTGGCCGTCCTCACCTCTCCGCTCCTGCCCTCCCCGGCTTGGATCCTCATTCCCAAGCTCTTACGTGCTCCAGGGCTCGCTCTTGTTCCCATCACACAGCATGTACACACACAAAACCAAGTTGACAACTATAGGGATTAACAGTGGTACTGACATCAGGGTTGGGGTAAGAATGAGAAAAGCTGGATAAATTATGTATGCTGCATTGAAACGGATGGGGGAGAGAACAGTTCAAAAGCGATATATTATAGGTATTATGATTATTATACGAGTCCGGAATGAAGGTTGCAGAGTGGAGTATACTCAGGGTAGGGGTTGAGGGGGGTGTGGGGGGGATTGTACACCAATGAAGGAATTTTACTTTTCAAAGAGACGAGAGAACTGGGGGGGGTAGGCGGGGAGAAAAGTGCAACTATGAATGAATGGAAATCCAAAATCTTTGTAAATGTTCATTAAAATTAATAAAAAAACTGAGAAGAGAAATGGTGCGGAGGATATTTATTAGTAGAGGATTAACGCTTTTACTTCCGTTTAGATGATTTTCTCGTTTCAATTTTTTTAAACAAAGCATAGTAATAAAAGAGATACATAGCAAAAAGGACACACATTTTGACAAAAGGAGTAGAAAAGAAAGTTAACTTCAGGTGGAAGGGAAGTGGCTTTAGGACATCGAAGTGTGTGTATTGGTTGATGGAAGTAAAAGAGTGGGACGTGTATGCAGAATACAGGAGAGGAGAGAGAGCTGACAGGCGGTGGAATCCTCTATCAGGTAAGATCTCAGGCTCTGTGGTGGATGGAGCAAACCTGGGTTCAAATCCTGCTTCTGCCCCCACTATCTCAGGAATGAGTGTCAACTCAGTGCCGTGTTCTTTACTCCCTAAGCGTTTAAGAAGAATTGTGGCTATTTTAAGAACTCACTTGTTAAGTTGAATTTAGCTTAGAAGATAGACTCATGAAGCCAGAGACCGTGTGTCTCTCTCTCGAGTGTGGCAGATATGGACAGAGGCTCCCTCCCACCTTCCTTGTCACCAGAGTGATGGTCTCAAAATTCTTTCTGTTGAGCTTTAAATGGTTACCTCCTGGGTGAATTCTGGGGGAGACTCTTGCCTTGCCAAAGAGTACAGTTGTGGCTACCGCAACTCTCTGCCTCTGGCTTCCTACTGTTTTTCTTTTTTTAATTTTATTTTATTAATTTTAATGAACATTTACACCCTTCCCACTGCCCCGAGTACACTCCACTCTGCAACCTTAATTCTGGACTCTTGTGATAACCATAACACCCTATCATATACCACTTTTAAATGGTTCTCTCCCTCCTCTGTTTCAATGCAGTATACATAACTTATCCAGTTTTTCTCAGTCTGACCCCAACCCTGATGTCAGTCCCATTCTACAACAGTGGCACCATATAGTATTTGTCCTTTCGTGACAGAGATATTTCACTCAGCATAATGTCCTCCAGGGTCACCCATTTTGAATAATATTCCATGAGTTCCCTGTTTTTCAATGCAGCGTAGTATTCCATTGTGTGAATATACCACAGCTTCTCTATCCATTCATTTGTTGATGGGCGCCTGGGTTGTTTCCAACTCCTTGCTATCGTGAACAAAGCTGCAATAAACATGGGTGTGCATATATCTGCTTGGATGTCGGTTATGGTCTCTTTAGGGTATATTCCCAGTAGTGGAACTGCTGGGTCAAATGGTATTTCTATTTCCAACTTTTTGAGAAAGCGCCATACCACCTTCCACAGTGGTTGCACCATTTTACACTCCCACCAACAGTGAATAAGGGTTCCAGTTTCTCTGCAGCATTTGTTGCTTGATGTTTTGTTAAATTTTGCTATTCTGACTGGGGTGAGATGATATCTCACAGGTGTTTTGATTTGCATCTCCCTTAGAGCTAGGGATTTTGAACATTTCTTCACATGCTTGTTAGCCATATGAATGTCTTCTTTGGCGAAGTGTCTGTTTATATCCTGTGCCCATTTTTCAATTGCATTATTTACCTTTATCTTGTTGTGGTGCCTTACAACTTTTAACACGGACACAATTCTTGGCACTGGAACTTCCAGGCTGTGATGATGTGAAGAAATTCAAGGAGATGACCGAGAACCCAACTTGGCCATCACTGGAATTGTTGTTGTTGTTATGTGTCATCTAGTAGCTTGTGACTCACAATGACCCTATGTACAAGAGCCCTAAACGCTGTTCTATCCTGTGCCAACCTCGTGGTCTCAAACACACTCATTCCCACCATTCCACTCACAGAATCAATCCTTCTCATCAAGGGTCTTCCTCTCCTTCGCCGTCCCTCTACTCTCCCAAACATGATGTCCCTCTCCAAGGACCAGTCCCTCATTACAACATGCCCAGAGTATGTCAGATGAAGCTTCAGAATCCTTGACTCTAAGGAGCATTCTGGCTTTACCCTCTCCAGGACAAACCTGTTTGTTCTCTTAGCAGTCCATGGTATATTCAACACTCTTCTCCGGCACCACAGCTCAAAGGCATCAATTCTCTTTATATCATCCCTATTCACTGTCCAACTCTCTGATGCATAGCATATAATTGCAAAGATTATAGCCTGGATCAGGCTTACCTTAGTCTCCAGCCTGACGTCGTTGCTCTTCACTACTCTTGAGAGGTCCCTGACAGCTGACTTTCCCAATGCAATTCGTCTCCTGATTTCCTGGCTGCTGTTAGGAAAAGTGTTGACTGTGGAACCAAGTAAACTAAAACTGTTAACTATCTCAATCTCTTCACCATTCATACTGATGCTACCAATTGGTCCAGTGGTGAGAATCTTTGTTTTCTTGATGTTGAGCTTGAATCCATATCAAAGGCTGCAGTCCTTGACCTTCTGCGGCAATCACTTCAGGTCCTCCTCAGTTTCAGCAAGCCTAGTTGTGTCATCTGCATGACGGAAAAGCAAAGCATTTTAACGAGTCATTGCTATTTTTTATCCTATGCAGATAAAAGCATTTGGGATTGATAAAATGGCTGATGTGTCTACCACAATAGCTTGAAGAGAAGTAGACGTCCAATCACATTTGTCGAGTGGATCAGTGGTTTAGGGGACACGTGGGGGCTAAAGTTCCATGTTAGTATTTCTAGGCTATGAGGTGAGTGGTCACTGGACTCGTGGCTGTTCTGTAAGTTGGCTACTGCTGTTTGCTGCCATCAGGTTGGTTCTGACTCAACCACCTGCACACACCTCTTTCCTTCATGCCATCCTCTGTCACTGGGCCAATCCGCTTTGCTGAAATTCTTCCTCTATTTTACCAAGCACGATGTTCTTCTCAAGGGACTGGCCAAAGAAGGTGAGACAATCTGATGACTCACCATCCTTGCTTCTTTCTGGTTGTACTTAATTTTTTTTTTTTTACTTTTTAAACCTTTTTTTTAAATTAAATTTTATTAATTTTAATGAACATTTACAGGGATTTTGGGTTTTCATTCCTTCATTGCTGCCCCATTCTCTCTACCCTCCTCCCCAGTTTGTTCTTCTTCCCCGCTATCCGAATATCTGTTTTAATTGTCCAATTGCCACAGTGCTTGTCAAAGTCAGTTCTGATTAATCTCCTTTGTCGGTGTGTCCTTTGCCATTCCCTATCACTCCTCCCTGAGAGAGACTTCACCCTGATTCATAAGGAAAAGGGGATGGCGTATTCTCTTAGCTACTTCCTGCCGAAAAGGGACGCTGTGGGTTTCAAGGTGAAGATCTTCTCTCACTACTCTAAAGGGCCCCTTTGGCAGTAGGAAACACATAGACTATTATGGAGATTGATTTTGGAATTTAGATGCACTCTTATTGATTGTGCTTGGCCGTACATGTTCATATCCTTGAAGATGTATCATGGGGGTGTTGCAACCTAGAAGACACAAATTTGACTAACAAGTTATAAGTACATGAGTCAAAAAATTATGGAAAAGTAAAAGAAAGGATTCTTTCATTGTTTTACAGACCCTCCCCCAGGTCCCCTCCACCATGTAGCCCTCGCTCTAGACTCCTGTGATGACAGAAATACCTCGTCATATATCTCTTTTAAACAGTTTTCTCCCTCCTCTGTTTCAGTGCAGTATACATTATTGAACCCATCTTACTCAGTCTCTCCCCAACCCCAAGGACAGTCCCATTCTACAACAGTGGCATCATGTAATATTTGTCCTTTTGTGACTGGGATATTTCACTCAGCATAATGTTCTCCAGAGTCAACCATTTTGAATAATATTGCATGAGTTCCTTGTTTTTTAATGCTATTCCATTGTGCAAATATACCACAGCTTCTCTAGCCATTCGTTTGTTGATGGGCACTTAGGTTGTTTCCAACTCCTTGCTATTGTGAACAAAGCTGCAATAAACATGGGTGTGCATATATCTGCTTGGATGTCAGCTAAGATGTCTTCATTTTTTTTTCTCCCCACCTGAGTTTTTAATTCAGCAGGTGAGTTATTGTTACATACTCCTTAACGATTCTGATTTCCATGGCCACTGTGCTGCCTGAAGACAGATTTTTTCTTTCTTCTGGCCATCAATGGGATAGCCAATATTCTTTAATAACAATTGATTCTTTGTTAATCTTTATTCTTTTTTTATTAATAAAGTATTATTGTTGCTGTTAAGTGCTGTCAAGTCACTAACAGTCCTCCAGCATGTGGGCATGCTGGAATTTTGAAATGCTGTAGGGCCCTCGGGCCTATGGCCCTGGGGCCTACTTTTAGTCAGTTTTGGTCAAACATTCTTCTAGGTCATATAGCACTGGTCTGTCCATTTGCTGTACAGAGGTAACTTGTGGTTGCTGTTATGCTAAACACTGTGACACTGATGTGTCAAATGTGATACTGGTCACTCATGGCGGACAGTGTTTTGTGGCACTCCCCAATTAAAACAAGCTTGGAAGCAGGAGTGGCATCTACTTCCAAAACAGCTTGCCTCCTGAAACCCTATGAACCTGGAGAAAGGATAAAAGTTATACAAGTGTTCAGGTCTTTCATTCATAGGGTCACTATGAGTTGCCTGCATCAATTATGAATAAATTATTTTCAAGAAATTCTTTGCTAATCTTTGTTATCTTTATTAGTCATTGTTCAGCTCTCCCATGCTTGTGAGATAACTGAAACTCATAGTTTGGGGCCAGATGTAAGGAGCCCAAGTGGAGGTGAGTTTTGTGGTGGGCTGCTGCCCAAATGTCAGTGGATGGGATGCACTAGCTGTTCCATGGGAAAAAAGCAAGACATTCAGCTCCTGCCACTCCAAGAGGGTCACCGTGAATCAGAAACTAACCAACATCAGTGGGTGAGTGACTTGCATCAGGTGCTCTTTAGCTCTCAAGGTGACATTGAAGTGGTTCCTTTTTTCTCTAGATCAACATATGGAGAAATTCTCAGATGGAAAGCTCTGATTTCACACTTCCGGCTGGTCTTCCTGCATCAATAAGGACTGTCACATTCACTGCAAATGTGACCTAGCAGGAGTTGACGTTGGAATCATGGTCTCCAAGAGCATCATCGTCTTCTGCCTTGGTGAGTCTTGAAAGAAAAGTGTGTGGAAATGAAAGGTCGTTAGAGGGGAAGATAAGATGGAGAGAACCCGGGCCATTGAGGGTCTCCTGTTAGGGGGCCTGTCAACAGAGAAAGAACCTTCCTTCAGATGTTTGCATGTCTGTCGCTTTCCAAGTCCAAGTGAGCTTTTGGGGCTCAGTTGTTTGTATTCAGTCTCTGGCATATGGTCTGGTGATCAATGGTGATTTCAGCATTCGTGTAGGAGGTGCAAGGATTGGCCTCTTATGGGACAATGAAGCCACCACTTTAAAGTTTAAAAAAAGAGTGTGTATGTATATATTTTATTATGTATGTTATCATTTGGAATAGTTTGGATAAGTGTAGACAAAGAAGAATTTGTTATGAAAGAAGAGATCTGTATTATTAATCTATGTTTCACTGTTGTTGTGTGGGGACCCTGGGTGGTGCAATGAACAATTAATTACACACTCTCCTACTAGCCAAAAGTTTGACTGTTCAAATACACCAAGGGGCACCTTGAAAGACAGCGATGGTGAGCTGCTTCCAAAACAGCACTGCGTTGAAATCTGCACAGAGCAGTGCCCTCGGCACGCAGGATGAGCCAGGTTGACTGAATGGCAATGCCGTGTCCTTGCTTGGGATGCTTTGAGACAGAGATTAGGGACAAAAGGGCTCATTTCCACAAATCCTCTCTCTTCCAGTGCTCTGCCTGGCCCAGGGGATTCAGGTGCAGAGAGGTGAGTGCTCCCTAAATCTCTCAAGCTCTGGGTTATGGGGCTGGAGTGATGTGCCACGGGCTGAACAAATCCTGATTCTACTTCCCGTTCCCATGGTCCTCACTATGCCCATCCTTCTCCCGGAGAGCAGCTGGTGGCCTCGAACCTTGTGCCTTTGGCATTGCATTGCAGCTTTTTGCCACTAGGCCACCAGAGCTCAATGGTCTCGACGAAGATCCCGTTGCAAAATCTCCATCTCTCTTGAACATTCTCTGACCCTCTCAAACGCCTGGCCCCCTGGCCTGAACGTAGAACCTTCACTTCCTTTAGGCTCTTTGTCAAGCAGAGATCTGAGTTTAACTGAAAGGCCACAGTTGCAGCATTGGGGAAACTCAAGACTCATCTCTGATTACCCAATTTCCTGTCTTGCCTAGGTTCACTTGTTTTCATCCTAATTCCCCTACATGTGTCCATGTCATGTTACTTAAAGGAACACTGCCAACTTCTGAGGCCCTACCACATGTTCTTTCACTCCAGCTCCTACTCGCCTTAATAGGTATGAACCACAAGTCAACCCAGCTCTTTCTAAATGGTCTATTCTGGACTTCTTATGTTTTAAAAAGACAAATACTTTGTCTTCCCTTTAAAGGTCTTCAGTAGTCATTCTTCATCTAGGCTCGTTGCATGCGCTGGGCTTCTCCAAAGAAAGAGAATCAACGAAAAAAGGATCTATGTCCACTTAACATTCAAGGGACCTCTGGTGGCCTAGTAGTAAGAAGCTGCGGTGCAATCCACCAGTTGTTCTGGGGGAGAAAGAGGGGCAATGTCCCCTTGTACTGTCTACTGCCTCTGAAAACCCACTGGAGGGTCAGCTGTGAATTCATTCCTCCTCAAAGGCAATGAGTAGTAGCAGCAGCACTAGTGACAGTGATTGTAATAGTAGTAAGATTAGTAGGAGTAGTAGTAACAGCAGCAAAAGCAGCAGTAATAGTAACAGCAGCAACAGTCAGAGTAGTATTAGTAGTAGCAATAATGTAGTACTAGTAAGAGCAGGAGCAATAACAGTGGTAGTAGTAGTAGCAGTAGTAATAATAATAATAGTAACAGTTGTTATATGTAATAATAATAATAGTTGTTGTTATGTGTCATTGAGTTGCCTGCAACTCATAGCGACCCTGTGTACACTCTATTCTGTTCCAATCTTATTGTCTCTGACACACCTACCCTCGTTACCGCAGTCACTGAATCAATCCATCTCATCGAGGGTCTTCCTCTTTGGCACTGTCCCTCCACCCTCCCAAGCATGATGTCCCTCTCCAAGGACTGGTCCCTCCTTGCAACATGCCCAAAGTATGTCAGATGGAGCTTCAGAATCCTTGCCTCCAAGGAGCAGTAATAATAGCAGTAGTACTTCTCAAAGCTTATTTCTCTCCTTATTGAAAACCATCAGTTTAGTTCATACCTGCCGTGCTAATGATTAGCAGTGTTCTCGGAGTAAAGCAATCATCTCTCTCTCTGCTTTGGTGGTTCAAGACCACCCAGCTGTGCCGTGGAAGAAAGTGAGGTCTGGATATTTGTTTCCAGAAGATCACAGCCTTTCAGACCCTATGAAGAAGTTCTACCCGGGCACACGTGGGGTCATCGTGAGTGGAAATCACCTTGATAGCAACTCTTCATCGATAGTTTCCTTTAACAAACAGTGTCTGGTATTATCTGCATCATCTGTTCCTTGAAGACATTCACCAGGTCTATTTATGTCAGATTTTCTCATCCTCAACACCACTGATGAGCTTTTGGGACAAGCAATAACGCTGGAGCACTCTGGCTGCACCCTCTCCAAGAAATACCTGTCTGCTCTCCTGGCCGTCCATGGGATGCTCAGTGCTCTTCTCCACCACAGCTCAAAGGCATCAATTCTTCTGTCATCCTTATTCATTGTCCAGCTCTCAGATGCATAGCAAGTGATCAGAAAGACTATGGCCTGAATCAGACACACCTTAGTCCTCAAACTGACATCATTACTCCCCAATAATTTGGAGAAGTCCCTAACTACAGATTTCCCCAGTGCATCTCATTTCCTGCCTGCTGGCAGCAAGGGTTTTAATTGTAGATTGAAGCAAGATGAAGTTGTTGACAGTTTCAATCCATCATGATGTTGCCTATTGGTCTCTTGATAAGAATCTTTGCTTTGTTGACATTGAGACACAATCCATATTGTAGGCTGTATTCCTTGATCTCCTGCAACAATTGCTTCGAGTCCTCCTCACTTTCAGCAAGCAAGGTTGCGTCATCTGCATAATGCAGGTTATTGATGAAATTCCGTCCAATCCCAATGCCACACTCCCCTTCGTAGCATCCAGCTATGAAGAGAGAGAATACAACCCTGACACACCTTCTTCTCAGTGTTAAACCATGCAGTCTTCCCCTGCTCTGCTCTCACAACAGCTTCCTGGTCTAGGTCTCGGTTTTGCATGAGCACAGTTAAGTGCTCGGGGACTCCCATTCTCCTCAGTGTCAGCCACCACTTGTTATCATCCACACAGTCAAATGCCTTTGCACAGTCAGTGAAGCACAAATAGACGTTTTTCTGGTATCCGTCCCCACCCCCGCCTCCCCATTTCTGATGTTCTCTACTTTCAGCCAGGATCCATCTGACATCAGCAATGATATTCTGGTGCCACAGCCTCTTCTAAATACCGTTTGAATTTCTGCAAGTTCCCTATTTATGTACATATTCTAGATGTTGGAATTTTTAAAAAGTTTAAAAAATTTTCTACTAGTTTATTTACAAATTTGAATACAAATTCTAACAAATTATTTCAGATCTCCTCACCCCCAACCCATCAAATTGTACAACTCATTGATTAATCCACCCCTCCCCCTGTACACCCTCATCCCTCTGCTTCCACCTTCTCCCACGCTGTTGCAGACCTGAGGGTCCCAAAGAATGGAATAATTTTATAATTATTAATAAAGAGACAAATAGCCAGGAATGTGATAGAGAAAAGAGCATAAAACAGGGGGCCAGCAGTTCTCCACTGAAGACCCCAAGCCAAGCTTCTCTGTGTCTTTATTGAAAATTATCAGGAAGTAAATCACAAAGAGAATTCAATGCAAATGAAGCCAAGCTCTTTCTATTGAAAACCTTCTGCTTGACTCAGGAGGGAGGGGTTCACAAATGCAAGAATTTGGTTTACCCTTAACTATTAACCTTGATTCCTCAGGGTGAACTCTAGCTCAGGAAGCAACACTCCCTCTGTAGGGGGCCCCTTGCTGTCTCCTGTCTTGCAGGGAACAAACAGCTCATTTTCTAGGATCTGCCACAAGAGAAATCCTAACTTATACATCTGTAATTCCTTCAATTCCTGAACAAGGGTTTTCATATAATATTTGGTATAAAGTTTGGCTTCCCATACCATGCTTCTTGGATCCTTATACTCATTCTACAATATTTTTAAAATACATTATATATCCTTGTGGAATTGAGTTAGTTCATTCAGAATAATGGTCTCCAGTCCCTCCCAAGTTAGATAATAATTTACAAAATCATTGCTCCTGCGTGTTGCATAGTATTCCATCGTGTGAATGTACCGTAATTTCTCAATCCATTCGTTTGTGGTTGGACATTTGGGCTGTTCCCATGTTCTTGATATTCCAGATGTTTTCAAATGCTCTTCAGCTGTATTTTGCTTGCTTCAATTAAGACTCCTAGCAACCCTAGAACAATGGACCTGAACCCTTCATTACCCCGTACCATCCTCATTATACTTGATATACTTGAGCCAGTGGTTACAGTCACAGTCACGGTCAGTCCATCTCATTGAGGTTCTTTCTCTCTTTTGTTGATCCGCCATATTTCCAACTATGGTGTCCTTTTCCAAGAATCAACCCCTCCAAACAATATGCCCAAGATACATGAGGCAAAGATTGACAATCTTCACCTCTAAGGGATGTATTGGTGTAGGATAGAACAGTGTTCAGATCTTCTGTTCATACAGTTGCTATGAGTCGTACTCGATTTGATGGTACCTAAGAATAACCACCACCACCACCACCACCACCACCACCACCACCCTGGTAACAAGGACGACAACAACAACAACAACAACAGCATCAACAATCTTGGTGACCACCACCACTACCACCCTGGTAACAACAACAACAGCAACCACCTGATAACAACAACTACAACCGTGGTGGTGTAGTGGTCAAGTGCTTGACTACTCACTGAAAGGTTTGCTTGGCAGAAGAAAGGTGTAGCCACGTCGACGACCGAGGAAACTCTACACGGCAGTTCTGCCATCGTGCATGGCTGTGGTGAGCTGGAGTGGAGTTATGTGTGGGTGTGTAGCTGTCTCAGACACTGTGAGATGTTCTTCATAACCATGGCCTTGACCCACTCTGTCTCTACTGACTCTGCCGATGGTATATCTAATTTCCAGTTGGAGTTTGGTGGGGAAGCAGGAAAGGGCTATTTTATTGTCCTTTGAAATTCCAGGTTCTGTCTCTTTTCCAGGGCACAAGTCCTCCATCTGGGCAGTACCAGGAACTGTGATTCCCCAGAAGGGTTCCGTGACCATTCTTTGCAAGGTTCCTCCAGGAACAACCACAGTGCGTCTGGGAAGCAGAGAACAACCCGATGACTGGGTAGACAAAAGCCCACATGAAGGCCAGGAGGTAGTGGAGTACTCTATCCATGTTGTGACATCTGTCAACGCGAGGACCTACCACTGTGACTATATGAGGGGAGAAGACTGGTCAACAAAGAGTGACTCGTTGAAGCTGGTGGTGACAGGTAGGGGCCGCCTCGAGGGCATGATAGTCCAGCCTTGATATCTCTTCTCCAAAACCCAGTTCTTGCTTCTAACTGAATCCTACTTATGCCCAGTCTCATCTTTCTTTTCTTTTCTTTCTTTCTTTCTTTCTTTCTTTCTTTCTTTCTTTCTTTCTTTCTTTCTTTCTTTCTTTTTTTCTTTCTTTCTTTCCTTTTCTCTCTCTCTCTTTCTTTCTTCCTTCCTGCTTTCCTGCCTTTTTCTCTTTCTTTCTTTCTTTCTTTCTCTCTCTCTTTCTTTCTTTCTTTCTTCCTGCCTTTCTTCCTTTTTCTCTTTCTTTTTTTCTTTCCTTCCTCCCTCCCTCTTCCCCTCCCTCCCTCCCTTCCTCCTTCCTTCCTTCCTTCCTTTTTTCTTTCTTTCCATCTTTTTTGGGGGTCAGCTATGAGTCGGTTCTGACTTGACGACACACAATGACATGTATTGGCACATATTTTG